GGAGGTGGGGGTGGGTGGACGGGAGCGACTCGAGCAGCTGGAAGGAGTGGTGCGCGTAGCGGCGGGAGCGCGCGAGCAGGCGGAGGAGGACGGGGAGGGAGCTCTCCGGGACCGGGAAGTGGGGGAGCTCCAGCAAGCGGCGGAACAGGGAGAGCGCCGGGAGGGGCGGCGAGTGGGAGAGCAGGAGGTGGGAGAGGAGCGGCGTGAGGAGGGAAGGCGAGGAGGGCAGGATGGCGGTGATGAGCGGCGGGATCGCCGGCGCGTGCGTGAGGAGGAGGCGGGCGAGGTGCGAGACGGTCGGGGCGAGGAGCCGCTGGGCGGCGCGCGGCGGCGGCAGCAGGTTGGGCATGGCCGCGAGGCGCACCGGTCTCCGAGCTCCGGGGGAGGAATTTGACAAACGGAAATGATAATTGGTTGACGTTCGTCAGGAACGATTTTCCAGCGAACTATGTGGGAACCTTTGAATTTGGTGGCACGAATCTTAGGGCATCTCCACTCGTTGGCCTCCCCAGGAGCCAAATTTTCAGCTTCCTGGGGGCGCGCCGGCAGATATTTTGCGCTGGGGGTGAGATTGTTCACAGCCGTGCCTCCACCCACGTCTCATCCAGCGGACGCGTGGCGGTAGAAGCAGGCTCAGGGCCGCGCCCGGAGGCGTGCGGGTCGTTGCTTCCCGACGACGACGCCGACTGCTTCCTGACGACGACGACGACGCCGCCGACGGCTGCTACCCTCTGCGTGGACGACTTCTGCGTCTCGCCAGCCTTCCGCGGCCGCTTCCGCCGCGACGTCCCGCAGCTCGTGCGTCCGCCACGCCGGGCGACGAGGAGGAAGCAGGGCGCGCGCGTCCGTCCGGCGTCCAGGAAGCAGGGCGCGGCGCCGTCCTCCACGCGACAAGGCGGGGAGGAAGCAGGGCGCGGCCAGCCCGTCCGCCATGCCGGCCACGCCGGACTCGGCGAGCGGCGACAGGGGCGTGCTCCTGGGCTGGAGCTCGACCCCAACCCGTCGGTAGCATGGACGGGGAAGCGGAGGAGGCTGCCGCGGCGAGCACGTCGTGCTGCGGGAGGTGGCCGCGTACCTCCTCGACCACGACTTCTGCGACAACCGTGGCGTCCATCCAGCGCTTCGTGGCTCACCACTATGACGCCGGCGAGCTTGGCCGCCGCCGCCGAGGACGGAGAGGAGGAGAAGGAGGAAGGGGGGCGCCCGACACGCCACGCCCCACGCGCCGCCCGGCCTCCCGCCCTGGCCGCCGCCAGTCGTGCCCGTGCGAGGGGCTGGTGCCGCCCATGCGTGGCTCATCGTGGCGGGGGCCGCCTGTGGCCGACGCTCTCGGGGCCTCCTCCTCGTTCATCTCCAGGTCGCCGGCGAAGCCTCAGCCATCCGAGGCCCCAGTCCCACCAGCGCTTGAGCGGGCCGCCCGGGAACTCGGCGGCGAGCGACGGCGCCGACCGGGTCCGCCGGAACGCCCACTCGGCGGACACGGAGGAGATGGGCTGGATCTTGCGAGGATGGTGGCCATGGCGCCCAAGCGAGGAGGAAGGAGATGGTACGCGAGCCCTGCCCCGGCCATGCGCGCTGTGTGGAAGGAAAGGGAGAGGAGAGGAGAAAGAAAATAAAGAAAGGGGAGGAGAGAGGAGAGAGAGGGGAGAGAGGGGCTGACGAGTGGGCCTGTGCATGCAAAAGTCATCTGCCGGCGTCCCCAGCTGCCCCCCGGGGGGCTGGGTTTGGGGTGATAGCGCCGGCCGTAAATATCGCGAAATCCGGCGAAAAACACGTCTCTGGGGTCCGAGTGGGCGTTTTTTTGCCCGCCGGCGTCCAAAAAATGCCTTGGGGAGGCTTCCTGGGGGGCGGCTCTTAGCGCATGTCTCCTGCCACATCACATCATCGAGCAGTTGTTCGCTTTGAACGAGAACCATGCGAAAGAGGGCGCCGAAGTACCCTCTCACTCACTTGCTCCGTAGATTCCCCCTCCCTACTCTTTTATCCTCATCTCCATCAGGCCGGTGGTGCGGGGGAGAGGTCGTCCGGGACGAGATGGCGGCCAAAGCTGCCGCGGCGACGACGGGCGCGGCGGTCTTGTCATGAGGACGCGAAGCGGTGGATCTCATATGGCCACCGGCTCTCGAAAGGAAGCAGGCGCTGCGCCGCTAGTTGGCCCCTGCTCATATTTGTTTCACCACGCCATGAGCTGATTTAAACCGGAAATGCTGTTGTCTACTTTTTGTTTGTTTTGCACTCGAAGAACTGATTTTTTACTCGAATGAAATTGAATTGAAGTTGTGCGTGCTCAATCTTTTAGCACGTACAACCATTAAACCAGAGACCAAAGCAGAGCTCGACAAAACAGAAAGAATCATGGTACGTCATCCTCCCTTGAAATGGAACTTGTGTCAAAAATTGTATTTTCAGTCGGCTGCAAAGTCATCCTCCCTTGAAATGGAACTTGTGTCAAAAATTGTATTTTCAGTCGGCTGCAAATTTAAGAACGGGTTTTCTTCAACAACATGATCGGCAGAAGGGGCATATTTTCAACAGATGTGGCAGAGTACACGGCAAATCTCATAAAAAAGGGTTAGTTGGTTTGATCCAAAATTGCCAAGTTTTAGGGTAGCAAAACATTGGCTAGACATTTTTTGCCCACCAACTGGATTCTCAAAAAATCCATCATATCAATACAAAATCCAAGAACTCACGATCAAAGATTCAACATGAAAGCACAACACCATGGTAAAAGACATTATTACTTTCAGCAGTAGTCATATATAGCACATATATAGCAATAGTCAGGCCATAGATCACCATACGAATCATTATAGTTCTATTACAAAAACTTCACTTTCAGATAGTCAGGTC